ATATATATTCCAAGCAAATAACAATGGAGGTAGCTGTATTTACTGCACACGAAACTGCTGAAGAACTGTTTCTGTGTGCATGCAATTGTGCACATGGTCATCTGTATGTATTCATGTACAGAGTGTTTTTAGTGCATTTGTGTCCTCAGGTACGCTCACATGGTCGGTGGAGGCAAGGGGTTGATGTCAAGTGTCTTCATTGATCACTTTCCACTTTCGTTTCAGAACGGGTCTCCTACAGACCCAAGTCTCACAGATTCTTCTTGACAGTCTGCCTATCAAGCCCCTAGGATCTCCTCCTTTTCCCTCTCCTGAATTGTCTTGGTCACAGAGGGGCACCACCACACCTGGATTTTTATTGTGGGATGGTGTTTCTGAGCAAAAGTCCTGGTTGTTGAGCAAGTCCTATACCAATGATGGCAAAAGTTTAAGTTATCAAAAATTGCTAGAAATTGAAATTATTAGCATTTAATTCAATCTTTATAAGATAATATTTAAGCAAAACCCAAGAAAAACAGCCCAGATCATCTTTCCAGTGGACAGAAAGGGAACCTGCCCTACAGGTCACACACCCAGAGACAACAGTCAGGGGTCCTAGGCTAGCTTACTGAAATATGCTTGGAACAGACAGGTCCAGGACCTTGTCATTTTCTCTTGTCAAAGCTGATTTTCAAAAATGACAAAAACAAACAAACAAACAAACAAAAACCCCTCCACATGGCTGTTTCTGTTCTCTTTATTAAAGAGAAAGGGTATTGTTATTATCAGGGAAAAAGTACAGAAAGTCAGGAAGAGCAGAAATCAATACATACCTCCTGTCCAAATATCAAATTACCTCAGTACCTGTCAGGTTCCCAGACCTCTACCTTATCATTATATGTTTGACTATCATTACTTACAAATTACACTCACTGTGAGTACAATATTTAAGTATCCCATGAAACTTACAATAGTATGTTTCAATAACACATTTAATGGATCTTAGCACACACCCAATTGTATCAAAAATACATTATGAAACAACAACAAAAACCTCAAGTGACTTGATTTTAAAACCTAAACATATTATCATAGCCATCAACTCATACATAGACTTATTTACATGAAACAAGTTTAATTTGGACAGATACAGATATTAATAAAATTATCCAAAGATGTAGTCATAAAGTGTTGGGTTCAAAAACAAATGTTGCTATTATGGTTTATCTTATTTATGTGTTTATTGGGATTTCATTGCTAGATTTCCCGTGAGCAGGGGTAAATGATACTGATTTAAAATTAGCATCTTATAGGTATAAAGTGTGGGAAGGTGATTTGATGGGTAAAGGGTGGAAAAAGAGAAGGAATTCTGAGTTGTCTTCTGATTTTCAACTTAAACTGTGGGACACTTGTCCCACCTCACAATTAAAACAAATGTAAGTAAACTAAAAATAAGATATTCTTCATGGTCAGAGAACATAGGTCTCACATCTGTTTCTTTCTCATGGCCTAGCAAAACAAACTTGATTATACATACAGAAAGTCTTAGGAAATGGTTGGTGATGATAGGATTAGTTTCCTGAGCAGGCAGGTGAGATTTAAAACTAGAGCATTAGAAAAGGTTACAGGAGGTCTGTGCATTTGTGAGTGCTTGCCATTGTTATGCGGATGGAAACCAGTGTCTGTTAATGAATATTTTAATTGTGTTTCTTGAAACTATATAAATGAACATTGATTCCTTTTTAATATTTGCATTATGTTTTTATATTCCTTTTTATCCTATGGAGTTTGGAAAGTTTTATTTCAAAGAAACTGATTTTTATGTTATGAATTGTAATAACACTGTGACCAGACAAAAGAGTCTTCATATGACCATAAATAAATATTACCTAACTACAATATTAGATACATTTCATTTTGTAGTTTACAAAGATCACTGTTGCCTCTTCCACTTATTCCAGTCATTTCTCAGCATTGGGTCCTCTGATTTCAATGACTTGTGTACACCGTAAAAATGCATGAGTATCCATGACTTTGATAGCAAATATATTTAACTACTTTATGTTTGCTTCAATCAGTTTACAAATTATTTGTTGTTAGCCTTGTAAAATGTCTGTCTAGGCCAATGTCATCTCTCACATAAATATCACTTGGGTCTCCCACCGAGGAAATTGTGATTCTCACAGAAAACTCTCATCTTTATCAAAAAAATTGAGAGAACTTCCCTTAAACCTACAGGTAATACGGCTCAGCAGCCTGTGTTTAATAGCCAGAGGAAAAAACTGGCTTGTTAGTGTTGGTATTTGTAACTAAATTACATTTGCCTAATTTTTAACATTTTGCAAATAAATTGTCTCAATTTTCTTTTGAAACAAACTAAGATTGTATAAAAGAAAAATATACTTAAGGGGGGGCTATTAAAAAAACATGGAATACAGGAAGACAGTTCATGATCAGTGCCTCGAGATTTCTCAATATTCTTAACTGACTTCCGTCATTCTGCCATGCTATTTGAGAAAACAATTGTGTTTTCCCCTCCAGTCACGTACAAATTACTTCTGACATGTCCACTCGTAGCTAGTCCTCATTTAATGTAGCCATGTGTACTGAACGATAGCATACACACCTGGGACAAACTGGAGTGCTTAAACTTCTTTCATATACTTAAAAATGTTTTTTTTTTTCAAGGCAAGATCATATATATTTCCTTGCTATGTTTTTTTTCCCTAAGTGGTTAGCAATTGATTTTTCTTCTTAGTACTTATACATATCCAATGTTTACTAATATATTCATTAGGTCTTATAAATTTAGGGTAACTAGGAACTACTGTATTTTAGTGACTCATCATCATTGGGCCATAACACAGCATCTCCAAGGCTGTTGAAACCTTTTGCTCTTACTTTTCTCTTAGAAATCAGCATGCAGTTCCGGGGCACCACCGTCACAGAGACCCACTTCCTCCCGTACATTTTTCTTCTCTGCCTGTTTTTTGGGAAGTCACCCGCTGAAGAAGACTTCATAGTCACAACCAAGGCTGGTAGAGTCCGGGGACTGAGCCTACCTGTTCTCGGTGGCACAGTGACTGCCTTTCTAGGGATTCCCTACGCACAGCCTCCTCTTGGTAGGCTAAGATTCAAAAAGCCACAACCCTTAAACAAGTGGTCTGGCATCCAGAATGCCACCAAATATGCGAATTCCTGTTATCAGAACATAGATCAAGCCTTCCCCGGTTTCCAGGGGTCGGAAATGTGGAACCCGAACACGAACCTCAGCGAAGACTGCTTGTATCTGAATGTTTGGATTCCAGCACCTAAACCGAAAAATGCTACCGTCATGGTATGGATTTACGGTGGTGGCTTTCAAACTGGGACATCCTCTCTACCTGTTTATGATGGGAAATTTCTAGCTCGGGTTGAAGGTGTTATTGTAGTTTCAATGAACTATAGGGTAGGTGCCCTAGGATTTCTAGCTTTACCAGGAAATTCTGAGGCTCCGGGAAACATGGGTTTGTTTGATCAACAGTTGGCACTTCACTGGGTCCAAAGAAACATAGCTGCCTTCGGAGGGAATCCTAAAAGTGTAACGCTTTTTGGAGAAAGTGCAGGAGCAGCCTCTGTGAACTTTCATTTGCTTTGTCCCCAAAGTTACCCCTTGTTTACCAGAGCCATTCTGGAAAGTGGCTCCTCTAATGCCCCCTGGGCAGTAATGTCTCCGGAGGAAGCCAGAAACCGAACTTGGACCTTAGCTAAATTTACTGGCTGCTCAAAGGAGAATGAGACGGAGATGATTAAATGCCTTCAAAATAAAGACCCTCAGGAAATTCTTCTGCATGAAAGGTTCATTCTCCCCACTGATTCCCTCTTATCGGTTTATTTTGGTCCAACGGTGGATGGCGATTTTCTCACTGATATACCCCACACACTGCTCCAACTCGGACAAGTGAAAAAAACTCAGATCTTAGTGGGCGTTAACAAAGATGAAGGGTCATCTTTTCTAGTGTATGGGGCTCCTGGCTTCAGCAAAGACAATGACAGTCTCATCACTCGGAGGGAACTTCAAGAAGGTTTAGATATGTATTTCCCTGGCGTGAGCAGCTTGGGAAAGGAAGCAATTCTTTTTTACTATGTGGATTGGTTAGGTGACCAGACACCGGAAGTTTACCGGGAGGCTTTGGACGATGTTGTTGGGGATTACAATCTCATCTGCCCTGCACTGGAGCTTACCAAGACATTTTCAGACCTTAAAAATGATGCTTTTTTCTACTATTTCGAACACCTGTCTTCCAAACTTCCTTGGCCTGAATGGATGGGTGTGATGCACGGCTCTGAAATCGAATTTGTCTTTGGTTTACCTCTGGAAAGCGGAGCGAATTATACGAGAGCTGAGGAAAATTTGAGTCGATCCATAATGAAATTTTGGGCAAATTTTGCAAAATACGGGTAAGTGCTGATTTCTATAACCGTCGCCTGGTGTTGTTTTGCTTCACTTTGCTTGGCCTCTACTGCAGACTTCATTAGAAGCATAGAAGCATTTCCAGTACCTTCTCTTACTAGCTAAGCTGCCTTTGTAGCTCATTATGTGGTGAATTTCAGCTTTGTTTCTCAGTGCTTAAGAAAAATTACCGGAAAATTTTTCTGTAAACTATTTTTTTTTTTACTTCATTTCCAAAACGTTTCAAAAACACTTTAATGATGTTAACCAAAGTTTGGAAGTAAATGCTTGCATCAGAATTACAATAGGTTACTAGGTTTAAGAAAAAGAAAGAATGTGTCTTCTCATTGTCTATAGCCTGGGTCAGTGACATCGGGCAGAGGAGTAAGTATGTCCCTCTTAGGAATATGAATGTGGAGAGAAGATGAGGCAGTTCTCCTACCCCCTTAAACTCAAGTCTCATAGCATCAGAGTTTTGCAATTTGGCTCTAGAAGATTCTATCAGACCTTTGAGGTAGCCTGCTTCACTTGACTTATGTTTATCTAAATTGTTTTTCTATTGGAAGAGTTTTGTGGCTAGCTTTCATCTCATCTTCGTGATGTTGTTCTGGACTCATAATAAAATGTAGGCTATCCCTAGTTGCAAATGGATCCACTGGGCCTTGTCTTCAGTAGGATATTGCGGAGTTGATACAGTTCACTAGAAATCATACTTTGGATTTATCCTTTTCTGGATTAGCAATATGAGAAATTACAGTCTCTCATGATGTTGGATATCCCTGACAGTGAGAATTTAGCTCCAGCCCACACACTTTGTAGCAAAGCAGCCAGCTGTCTTGACATTCTACCTTGCTAAGCTACACTAGTTCCTCTAAGTCTATTTTCAATATTGCCTGCTCCGTCATAAGTAGAGTCTAGGTTTACTCCATCATAAACCTAGAAGCATGTATAATCTCTTGGAATTTACCTCCCCCCCCTTATTCTTCTAATCTTTAAGACAGGCTTTCCCTATATTGCTCAAGCTGGCCTGACGTTGATGTTTGCAAATTTTAAAACAGTTCATATTTTCACATTAATAATAAACTAATAATTCCCCTGTTCCCATTAACAGAGTTAATAGAATATGTCTAATATCTTATTTATGATACATAGCTTCAGATCAAAGAGGAGAGTCTTTGACATTTAATGGAATAGTTTAACCCTAATTAAGTACACTTCTGATGAGTGAATTTTCCTGGGGAATAAATGAAGGCTGGCTTATTAATTATAATGTGAAACTTATAAAATGATATTTATAAAACAAATCATAAAAGTTTAAAATAGCCTTACAAAGTAGAATATCCTCACGATAGATTTCACTGTTAAGACAATTTTCCTCAGACTCCATATGTTTAGTTGAACAAAGGAAGATGTCATGTATGCTTTGAAATGAATGATAATACTAACAAGTGATAATATTAAGTGAACTTCAGCCGAGGTAAAGGGGCCAAGTGCTACTTTAGACATGCTTGGATTCTACACTTCTCAAGTTTAGACAATTTGCCTTATATACCACCCAGCTGGACATGGAGGACTGACTGTGGACTTGGAGCCCATTTTGGGGTGGTGAAAAGTATGATCTAATGCCTAGAACACCAAACAAACACTTAATATTTCAAAATGTTAGCAACACCAAGATTGAGAACATGTGATAGCCTGTGTTTCCCCACACTCCCAAAATGTGTTTTCAAGAAAGGAAAAGTGAGTGATAGGTCTCCTTAGTGCCTTATTCCACAGGGAAATGCAAGTGCACTATCTGCCCATTCTGCAGCCCCAGGATGCAGGACAATCAGCCGCAATAGGGATCAAGTCAAAGCAGAAACTCAGTTTATTAGTGTGAGCATCAGCTTTTATAGGTTAAGTGACATCATGTGATGTGGGGGTACCTCCAGCCAATGAGAGACAGCTGTCTCCTCCTCACTTGGTAGCTTTGAGACTATCCTTTAAACTTGAGCCAGGCTTTTTTCTCTGTCCTACAGACCTCGAGGTAAAGGCCCTGAGATGATTTTGGCCCAGCAGAAAAGTAGGCTGTGGCTCTTTAAAATGTTGGCACCCATGCTATCAGAATATCTGAACTTTTCTCTCTATTAATCTTCATGTCCTAGCCAATATTAAAGAGAGGTGGAGTTGGATTTGAAGCTGTGCTTATCATTTAGGAAGGAGAATTTCATGTTTCCACCACAGTTCCAATCAATTACTCTTACATGTTAGTTAAATATATGTGGGATGCTCATACACTTCATTGGTATATAATTTTCATACCTAGTCTGATAAACTTTGACTAATATCTATAATTCATCATCCTGCAGAGTTGTTCATTCTGCATGGCTCTTTTCTTATTTCGTTTTCATGCTTGCTCAGCACCCTGCATAGACTTCAGTCTGACAACTTTTGATCTGTCCAATATGCCTGTAATCAGACTAACAACTCAGAAATGCCTGATTTAGGTATTTTGGTTAGATTGTTTTTGGCTCTTAGAGGAAGCATTGTCATTATAGACGAAGACATCTCATTTAACATTGTTTGAGTCTTCTATAGTTTTTATTTTACTTTATTCCTCCATAATTGGAGTTACTGACTTTGTAAGCTGCCAGGTGGGTGCTGGGAATTGAACCTGGGACCTCAGGAAGGACAGCCTGGGAGGATAGCCAGTTTTTTTTTTTTTTTTTTTTTTTTTTTTTTTTTTTTTTTTTTTTTTTTTTTTTTTTTTTTTTACCACTGAGCCATTTCCTCAGGCTTGTATTATAAGTTTTTTAAGGTATATGTGATACAATGATCCCTATGACTTTTTTTAATGTTATTTCATCTTCCTTCCTGCTTCTGTATTTACATTTCCTCTCACTAAGTAGAACTTTTTTTTGTGTTTTATTTATAGTTGCTACTTTTTGAAGAAATTTGTTTGTGTATTTTTATTTAATGTGGAGCATTTTGTCCATATATATACTAAATATGCCTCTGATTATCTTGGAGGCCATGAATGCATAAATCCAGGAATTGTAATTACAGCCACTTGTCAGCTACCATGTAGGTATTTGGAACTGAAATCAGGACATTTGGAAAAGTAAGAAATGCTAAATGCTTTTAATCACAGAACCAACTCCTTAGCCTACTTCTTCATCTGAGACATGGGCTTCTGTTTCTCACAGATTATACTACACTTCAATAACCTATCTATAAGGATTATTTTTCTGCTTGGGAATATTATGAACAGTTTTGTGAATGTCTTTGTATAATATGTTATACTATAATTTCTTTTTTGGGGAATGAAGGAACACAGAAATAGGGATTTCTGGTATGCTGTTGGGGACCCTTCCCCAATCTCCTGGGTTATGGATGACCCTGGGTAGTGCTGCAGAAATCAGAACATGGGATGCAGGGTAGAAGATACAACTGCATACTTTATTGCAAAGCTAGTGCTCTTTTTATAATACTCAAATCATGATTCAAACTAGGTTCCCATAATATATGAAAATGGTATCATAGCCTAGTCACTTGGTGGCTACTAATTTCATGCCCTAGCTAATCTAAACAAAAGCTCGGTGTTATGAGAAAAACTCTTGTTGTAATATAATATGTAAAAACACCTCATCAGAAGACAAACCACAACCTAATCAGAGCCTTTGAACTACAGTGCACATCTGTGTTCTCAAGGACTGACCATTGGCAAGGCACTCTACTGATGGGAGAGGTGTGCCTCCAACCAACTTGGTTTGCCAAGCCTATCAGCAAGAATGCTACCTCCAGTCTCCCTTGCACAGAGTTTCTATGCAGTTCAAAACCGGCCCTCTACAGTGTGCCAACACAGTCAGTACTCTGCATCTTCAAGGAGACTCGGAATAATCATTTTTTTTTAAACTATTCTAGTTCTGCACCAAGATCTGATGGTGGTTTAGTGCATGCTTTCTCTCTCTCTCTCTTTCTCTCTCTCTCTCTTCCTCTCCGAACGTGTGTGTGTGTGTGTGTGTGTGTGTGTGTGTGTGTGTGTGTGTGTGTGACGGCATGGATAAGGGCGGAGAGAGGACTAATATTAGACTACATGCGATATGGAGATAAATTTAAATTTGTGAAGGACTGTCATCTGGCCATCTGTTCCAATTCTTATCAGACATATAATTAGATTTTGTGATAGATAATAGTTCGTGTGGTGGTTCCAGACTGAAGAAAAATATACTTACTCTCCGATTCTGTAATTATTTGTGGTATATTATCATAATTAACCCTAACAGAACATTTTGATGACTTTGCAGAAAAACCAAGCCTAAAATCCCCATGGATATATTTTGTCCCTACCTTGACAGTTTGGATTTTTACTATTTCAGCTCTCTCTTCCCCTAGGAATAGGTAAGGACTTACTTAGAAATAGATGAAACGATAAATGCTAACTGCAGCATAACTGGAAGTTCTTAGAATATAAATGTAGGCAAAAAATCTGATGCATTAATAGAACTTATTTGAAAAGGACATATTGCATTATGGGACAATTTAAAGTCTAGCTTACATTACCCCGGGAACTATTTCAAAGAAAAATCACTATTTTACCATCAATAATAGCAAAATGAGAGAAGGGAGATTCAGATGTTCCCCTCCACCAAAGACTGGATCCATGAAGAAGGGTATAAAAGAAAATATGCTTCAATGAATATTTTGGAATACACTGTTTTTGTGTGGTTTGGGTAGATGTTATGTTACAATAAGAAGGCATCTTAAACCAGAAACCAATATTTATCACATCCATTTACTTGGAGTAATGCAATTTGTCTTCTATTCATTTCCAAATGTCATCTATAGTTTGAAAATATATAACATTAGCCCATTTGTACATATATCCATCTTTTGTTTTGTTTTGCTTTTGGCTTTTTGAGACAGGTTTCTATCTGCCTCTGCCTCCCAAGTGCTGGAATTAGAGGCATGTGCCACCACCACCCGTTACTTGTATCCATCTTAATATTAGAATTGATGTCTTATTTTA